AGTACATGTAATATCAAGTTTAAAGCTGAACACGATTCGTAAAAGGAATAAGTCCGCCATTTTTGCTCCCGATTCTCGCTACTCTGCAGACCCCTATAAATAGAGCAAGTCTTGGTCTCTGTTCAGTGTAATCAGTCGACACCGGAGCAGATGGACGTATACTATGCAGCACTTGGTAGCGAGAATCGTAACGTAAAACATCGTCTAATGCAGGAAAGAAAGATACCAAATAAATTTACAATTATAGTAGTGCAGTATACAAATAACAAAGATAAATGTAACTGCAATAAAATGTAAACAAAGGTAATGCAAGATAACCAGCACGAACACGGTCGCCATCCCACGCCGATACCCGTGACAATAAAGCAGTCAGGTGTAACGAATGCGACGAGTATACCCTAGTGTTGATGTATCGTAGATAATGATATCGAAAATGGCGTATACCTATTTACGAGTCGTGTTCAGCTTTAATAAAAAATTTTGGCAAAATTTTGAAAAATATACAAAGAAAGATGCACTCTTGAAATGAATTATACATCTGAAGTAAATTTGTATAAAAATAAATACAATTCCTTGTTAGCATGAATTAAGGCAACTAAGAATTGTGCGTCTGTGTGTTAGCATACAATGACCTAGATTGAGTTAATCAGATTTGCAGATGGCAAAGTATTAATTTCCGCATTAACATATCAGTATATCAAATTCCTTATGCTCAACAATCTAAAGTAAACATAAAAAGGTATGTAGTAATTTAAAGCAGATCCGTTTAAGTTGGGACCTTCCTTAATTACCAAATAAATGTTTAATGTTAAGGGTCTATTAAGCTTGATGTAAATTACTAATTTAATACCATTTTTCTGAGATAAAACTACTCTCTTCGAGGCATTTTTTTTAAAATACTCTCTGACCATTGTTTGTTTGATTCTTAGGGCATCTGAAATAACAACTTTTTAAAATACAGTTTCTAAACACTTCAACGAACTGAATCACATTGAAAGGCATAAATGAAAATCGTTGCGTGAAAAGATTTCTTTTTGAGATTTTTTATATCAAATTATAAATTAAAGAGTTTTCCTTCCTAGCTGATGATCGGATATCCTTAAGAAGAAAGTTATACCGGTAACTAGTTTTAGATCTACTGGTAAGAGACCAGAAGAGCTTATGCGATAGTAATGCGTTCGTCGTCCGTCCGTCTGTCTGTCTGTAAACAATTTTTCAAAATGCTACTCCTCCTAGTATGGTCCGATTTCAATATAACTTGGCACACAAGTAGCAATGTTCCACTAAGATACATAATTCTGTGCATCGGTTTTTGATTTCGATGAACGGTCTGCCATGGTTATATATATATATATATATATATATATATATATATATATATATATATATATATATATATATATATATATATATATATATAATACACTAAGATGCATAATTCTGTGCATCGGTTTTTGATTTCGATGAACGGTTGTGAAATTCTTTCAAAATGCTAATCTTCCTACAGTTTTGGTCCGATTTCAATATAACTTGGCACACAAGTAGACTATACTAAGATACATAATTCTGTGCATCGGTTTTTATTTTGATGAGCGGCAAGGATCAATTTTCTATTTATTGCTGTTTTAAAGTTTCAAGTCCCAACAGCTACTTTTCTCTTCCTTTGTTTTATTAAGTATGAACCAGTAGAGCTACAGTTTCGACAGAGACTTCTGGTTTCCTAGTGTTTTTCTTCCTGATTAGGCCTAAGTTGGTGACGTTATGGGAAGACATTGTGTGAATGGACGGACGGACTAGGTTAACAATATACCTGAATTTTTTTTAGAGAAGGTAAATGAATAAAACGGGGTTTTGTTTTTATATTGACCACGTATAAATTCGGAACAACCTTGGTATGCATTTTTAATTTTATATAATTACCGTATGATAATAAAAAAATAAAATATAAAGAACACCAAATGTGTGTTACATTTTATTAGCATCAAAATGCATATTTTAGAGGTCGACAATTATTACAAATTATCACTTTATCAACATTTTTTCATAAGCGTTTTTTTTTTCAATTATCCAATGAATCTTCATGCTTTGGCTTTCCTTTCCATCATTATTTTTGCCATGAAATTCTTTAAAAATGCTATAGTTGTTTTATAACTTTCCTGAAAATAAATACACAAAATAAATAAATACACACCCTTAGCTCGTAAGATGAACCTGCACATATATTTCGAACAAAATATCTATATATTTTCTTGTTTTTCTCATTTAGTAACAATACAATTAGATAGAAAATACAAATTGGCGTTTCAGAGTTTGTTTTTAAATTATAGTCAAGTTAATAGTTATTTTCAAAATTGCAAAATTTGACATCAATCCTCTGATCTCACTTTACAATAAGCAGTTTAAGCGACTTTCTACTCCGGAAGAAACATAATAGCATAAAAATTTGAAAGGATATAATTATAAAATTGTACATAAATCTGTCAAACGATTTTGATTAATCATGATAATAAAATTTTTGAAAAAAAAAACTTTTTTGTTAAAACATTGTCTCCTTTTTTTCATTTTAGGTCTACGGCTTTTGCAAGAACATTACAAAGAACATCGAAATCAGTGTTAAACTTTTTAAGAAAAAAATATTGTTTTTTCGAGCTTTAACTATATCATTACCTTACACCAGATCGGGAAATAGACAAAACAATGGACCATATTACATACAAAACTTAAATTCTACTTTGTTCCCTAGAGAACTTCGAACAACGATTTCCATAGAATTCAACCTACACTGTAAAATTGTTTAACGAAATGCCATTGCAATATAAACTGATCATGGAAACTTCAAATTGTGTAAACCCCTCGGTTATTAATAAAATTAGTCTTCAGAAAAGTTTTTTAATGTACAAATGTATTTAATGTACTTTGATAAAACATGGAGCTATATTTCTCGTTGATGTTACCTGTCCGACAAAATCTGCATCCTCTTTGGTATAATCAAATGTAAGCGTTCCTATGTAATGCGAGTTCAAGCCAACTGTGCGTGGAACATCTGAAGCCTATAATAATAAGTATACAATTCATAAGTATTCAGTTCATGCTATTGAAGTGTGCTTTACAATCTGTCAACCTGCATTTTGACAAGTGAAATAGACAAAAGAAAAAGCACAAAGAAATTAGACTTATGTATAATAAGGGTGTAAATACATACTCAGCAATTTCAATTATTGAATTAAGAAATTTAAGAGTTTTCAGGTAGTCATATTTTATTAATCGCGTTCATATTTTTTTATGTCAAAGTTTGAAAAGCAGCAAAAAATTGTCAAATGTTTGAATTTCAGATTGCTTTGTACAAGGATATATGAAAATGACATTCAACTCAATTCCAAATCAAATTTGTAGCTAGTTGGTTACGTAGAAAACATATCAATTTCATTATCTAATACATAAATACAATGCATGACTTACTCTGACTGATATCCGTACAATATTCAATGACATTGTATTGTAGAGGGTCTGAAGCAAAGAAAGAAATGTATCCACTTGTTGTCTACCAAACCCTAATCTTCTGTGAACCACCGAGATCCCTGTTTCTTCAATGAATGAAACCAGCTCTTCATAACTGATCTATGGACAAAGAAAGAAAATACCTCCTTAATATCATGATATTGGATGAAAGATATGGAGATAACGAGCAGTATTTAAGATCAGAACTCCATAAAACAATACGAAATAGGAGCAGAGCAAAAACAGACCCCCGAAACATCAGAGGTAGGACCAGGTACCATGGAGAAGTGAGCATCCCCTGCCGACCGGTCACACCCGCCGTGTGCTCCTTGTCATGATCAGGAAATAACGGGAAAATCCTTCGTTAATTCAGATTTGACACACTACTTTTATTTCTCTTTCTGAATAAGTATTTAACAGTCTTTAAGTTGATCTTTAAATATTAAGTCAAGCTACATATAGAACCTTGACTACAAGACCGACCACAGTTTACTTCTGAAGAAGTATGTTACAAGTAGTTGGATTTGAGGAATGTTGTACCTTTCCATTTCCATCTTTGTCTAGTTTTGCCATCACTTCTTCAACGGTAACATTCTTTCCAAACAGACGTTTCTTATCAACATCAGTGAGCTCCTCCTGAAAGAAAACGTCTTAGGGTTATAAATTATGTTACTTTAGAAAGAAGAGAGAGAGAATCCTTAATATCTTCTAAGAAATGCACATGCTGTACATACGCTTTTTATGGCGTTCTCAAGCTCCTCTTTGTTGATAAATTCATCTTTATCCAGATTATGATTTTGCAGTTGCTGTGAAGAAATGTTCACAAAAAGATATCAAGTTCTCGTTTTTTTTTTTTTTTTTTTTTTTGTGAATAAAAGATCACCACTCCCACCCAAAAAAAACGCTTTTAAAACGTAATTAGAAACACATTGTAAAAATATATGCATTTTGTCAATATTAAACAGGAAATATCACTGGAGAAAAACACACTCTGACACGAAATACACCTGAAGATTTGAATATACCACAAATATTGCATATATTTACCTTTAAAAACTTGCTGACTGACGTTTTCACACATTTGTGTTCTTCATGTAACTTTTTCTTGTCTTTCAGTTTCTGCCCCGCCTTCCTTTAAGTGTATAAATGTTTAATTGAAAAGTACATATCTTTCAAAGTAAGATAAATGTAAAAAGTAAAATAAGATATCATATAATTTGAAAAAAATATCATAGTTCCTAACTATCATGAATATTCTAACCACCTAACACTTGGGGGAAAAACTTTTTTAAATTCTTATAGCAATAGGAATGTGATGATAAAATTCATTAGGATGGCAGGCCATTCATTGAAGTATTGCAATTGCATTGCAGATGAATGACAGTCAGTTATATGCCAATAAATTTTAAAAACATTAACAAAAACTAACAGTACAGCAAAGCGTCTTTTTAATAGAATAAAATATAGGGAGATAACGAACAGTATTCAAGCTCAAAAGTCGAAAAAACAATACAAAATTTCAGCAGAGCAAACAGAAATCTCTGAAACATCAGAGGTGGGATCAGGTACCATGGAAGAGTGAGCATCCCCTACCGACAGGTCAATTAGTACCCATGGGAATACCAGCAGATTGTTGGAAGAACTGGTCTCCAAAAACCACATAGATACCGTCAATCAGAAACACAAGCATCTTTTTGGCGTCAACTTCAGAGTTCTTGTGTGTACAATCAGAATGTTCTTTTTTAAACAAAATGATTTTGGAAATGATCTATGACAAGGTAAGTAAATTTACGAGATCCATTTTTATTGAAAAAGCAGCTTTCAATGATATCAAAAAGCACGGACTTTAATTTAACGTGGGGAATGGTTGTGTATAAAGTGGAAAAGGCATAAGCTTTTAAACTTGATTTTGGTTAAAATCTTGTGATGTAAAATTTTCCAAAAGTTAATTTTTAAGTATCCACATCTTATATACACCACTTCTCGGTTTCTGTTCTTTATTCAATAGATAGAAGAGAATTCAAGTTACATGGTCTTTGAACTTAAAAGAACATGGACATAGTTTCAGCTAAAAAATCTCAAATTTATTTTTCCTTTTTTATGTTTACTAATGCTTAACCACAGTGTAATTTAACGACTATCAAAAATTTAATTTCACTTGTCGAGATACAATTGGTTTTCAAAAAATTAGTTGAAACTGTGTCCACGTCCCTTTAAAGATATAGAGTCCATGACTAAAGATATAGAGTCCATGAACTTAACCTTCCCAATGGCGTGTCTGGGAACTCTAATTTTGTTTTCCTTCTTGCTTCAAAAATTGACTTGAAAGACTGAATCTCATCATCAGAATACTAAAATAAAAATGATTGATGAATTTAAAAGAAAACACGCAACAAAAAATAAGCCAAAGTTTAGGCTAAAACAAAAAGTTGTGAAGACTACAAATTGCCGTTTTTTATATTTATTACCAGTATGAATCCAAGCGATTTGAACAATTGAACCTCATCGGTGCCAAATCTGTTTTCTCTATCCATTATAAAAGGGAGGTTCTCCAAAGGTTGTAATCTTTCAAAAAAGGAATCCTCCTTTTTCATTGAAAGCCACCAACCTGAAAATGGTAAGGAAATTTAGTGACTCTTAATGAACAGAGCTCCAAATCTCCAAGTATTAATTTATGCTATGATTACATGGT